TGAAATCTTAAAACGGGCATAACTTTGGCTAGGAAACTTAGAATTGACATTATTGCATATGCATTTGGAGTAGAAAAAAAATTTCCTATTCAATCCAACCCGTTGTGCCAGTTGTCGTTGCCTAGATTTTCAAAAATTGCCTGCTTTCTGAAATTTTTTTATTTTCTGCTATTTATTTACCTATTTTCCTGCTTTTTAGGCATCCAGTTTACATAGTTGTGCATTTAAAAAAATTCTAAAATTTTTTGTAGTGTTTTCTTATACCAAAAAGAGATTTCTCAAGGCCTCAATTCATCCATATCTCATATTTTTACAATACTTGCTTTGTAAACTGACACTATTCACTTTGTGAGTGTTTATTAAGTGCAGGATGTTTTTGGTGATTCTAACCGTGCATGACCAGGTCTAGACCAGGTACGCTGCATCCATTAGATCCTGAGATTGAGAGGACTCGGTCAAGGCTTCAGAGATTACAAAAATCACAAAGAGAGTGTAGTACAAGATAGATGGCTGCAAACAACCACCAAGAGAGAACCTTGAAGGAGCTAGCTACCCCTGATGTTGGCCACCAGCCACTTTACATCCAAGTGCCTCAGTTACAAGAAGGCGTAGCCACCTATGAATTGAAGTTTGGTTTGATACATTTGCTGCCCAAATTTCATGGACTAGCAGGAAAGGATCTGCACAAACACTTGATGGAGTTCCATATAGTCTGTTCTACCATGCGACCAATAGACGTGCTTGAAGACTTTGTGAAGATGAAGGTATTTCCATTCTCACTGTGTGCGTGGCCAAGGACTGGCTTTACTTGCAGCCAACACTAATCACTAGCTGGAATGACATGAAGAGAAGATTCTTAGAATTCTTGCCTGCCTCCAAAACTGTAGCAATCAGAAAAGAAATAAGTGGGATTAGGCAACTGCAAGGAGAGACTTTGTATGAGTATTGAGAGAGGTTTAACAGACTTTGTGCAACTCGTCTGAATCACTAAATTAATGAGCAGTTGTTGATCCAATATTTTTATGAAGGTTTACTTCCTATGGAGAGGAGCATGATTGATGCAGCTAGTGGAGGAGCTTTGATGAACAAGACCCCTGCAGTTGCAAGGTATTTGATTTCCAATATGGCAGATAATTCACAACAGTTCAGTTCTAGGAGTGTGACCAAAGGTGTGCATGAAACAACAGCTACCATTGTGGCTGCGGTCGATAATCAGAGGCTGGAAAATAAGCTTATGGAGTTTACCTTCATTGGTGAGGCAACTAGCAATGGGAGAGGCAGCGCCACAGACATGTGGTATATGTTCAGGTGATCATTACATGGATGCTTGTCCTCAGCTGCAAGAGACATCCAATGCACCATCCCATGTGGTGGCAGGTATACATCCTCCATACCAGCAGCAACAGTATAATCCATTTGCACCTACATGTAATCCAGGCTGGAGGAATCATCCTAACCTGCGATATGGTCCAGGCCTAACACAACATTAGCAGAGGTATAATTACTAACAGCCATAGCTTGTGTAGCATCCAGTCCACTAGCCAGCACAGCCACAGCTGAAATATACTCCTCCTTCACTCAGACAGCAAGCTCCACAGCAGCCACCTGTGCTGCAACCTAATTCTGGCCCTACTCTGGAAGAATTGATGAACCAGATGGCTACACAGAGTCTGCAGTTCCAGCAGAATGTTTCAGCCATTATACAGGATTTGTAGACCTAGATTGGGCAATTAACTACCTCAATGAACAATCAGCAGCATTAAGGGTCTAGAGCGTTACCTTCTCAACTTGTGGTGAATCCTAAAGATAATGTCAGTGCTATCACTTTGAGAAGCGGCAAAGAGCTGGATAACAGCCTAGTGCAAGCCAAACTAGCTCAGTCTAGTGCAGATGTCACCGAGAAGTTTGTGCAACAGTAACAAATCCCTCTTCCATTTCTATCCATAGCTTCTACATCAAAGAGAGTGGAGTCTGATCAAGAGCTGCTGGATACTTTCAAAAAGGTGGAGATAAATATACCACTGTTGGATGTCATTTAAACATATTCCTAGGTATGCAAAATTTTTGAAGGAGCTATGTACATACAAGAGGAATTTGAAGAAAAGAGCAATCCAAACAGTTTCATCCCTGTCTTAGTCCAGTCTTCCAAAGAAATGTGATTATCCAGGCACATTCTCCATACCCTGCACTATTGGAGAAGTAACCTTTACTAATGTCTTGCTGCACTTGGGAGCTTCCATTAATGTCATGCCATTAGCAGTGTATAAAATGCTACATTTGGGAGACTTAAAGCCAACCAATGTGATTATTCAATTGGCAAACCATAGCACAGCTCAGCCTTTAGGAGTGCTTGAAGATGTGTTGGTAAAAGTCAACCAGTTAATTTTTTCAGCTGACTTCTATATTCTTGATATGCAGGATGAGAATTCTACATTGATTCTGGGGAGGCCATTTTTAATGACTGCAAAGACCAAGATTGATGTTCATACAGGCACATTGTCTATGGAGTTTAGAGATGACATAGTTCATTTCAATATTTTTTATGCCATGAGACATCCAGCTGAGAGCCATTCTATGATTTCTGACCATTCTGTTTTTCTAGTTGATATTGATGTTATAGGTTCTGATATTGCTGTAGATGTAGATGTAGATTTGGATTCAGACTTTGATTTTTCTCAGTTTTCAAATTTAGACTTTGATGCTTTACCAGGTTGCACCTGTGATAGTGGCATATGTTCCATTTGTGCTGAGATTGATACTGCCATATCTTCTAATGTTTTACCTTCCATTACAGGTACAGGTCTAGATTCTATTATATCCATGGCTGCTGCAGCCCCACAGCCTCCATTATCAATTGTTTAGTAGTTGCCCTCATTAGAGTTGAGTCCTCTGCCAAACCATCTTAAATATGCCTATCTGGATGCAGAGCAGAGGTTTCCAGTGATTATTTTCAGCAGCCTTCTGGAAGACCAAGAGGAGAAGCTCTTGCATGTCTTAAAGGTGCACAGGAAAGCCATTGGTTGGACCTTGACTGACATTCTTGGAATCAGTCCAGCTATATGTATACACATGATTCACTTGGAGGATGAGTCTAGACCAATGAGACAGGCCCAAAGAAGACTCAATCATGCCATTCTTGATGTAGTAAAGAAGGAGGTGACCAAGCTACTGATGGCTGGGATCATCTACCCAAGAAGTCTGGGATTACTGTTGTGCAGAACCAAGAGAATGAGATGGTTCCCACCAAAGTTGCCAACAAATGAAGAGTATGTATTGATTATAGGCGACTCAACCAGGCTACTAGAAAGGACCACTTTCCTCTCTCATTCATCAATCAGGTTATAGAGAGGTTAGCAGGTAAATCCCATTATTGCTTCCTAGATGGTTTTTCTGGTTACATGCATATTCATATTGCTAATGAGGACCAACACAAGACCACTTTCACCTGTCCTTTCGGCACTTTTGCTTATAAAAGGATGTCATTCGGCCTATGCAATGCACCTGCTACTTTTCAGAGGTGTATTCTCTGATTTAATTGAAAATTGCACGGAGGTGTTTATGAATGATTTTACTGTTTACGGTTCCTCATTTGATTCATGTTTGCATTGCTTGACCAGAGTTTTTGGAAAGATGTGTTAAAACTAATCTTGTGCTTAATTATGAGAAATGTCACTTTATGGTAAAAGAAGGTGTATTTTTAGGGCATCTTATTTCTGAGAGGGGAATACAAGTTGATAAAGCAAAAATTGATGTTATTTCCTCTCTGTCTTACCCCATATTTGTGCGGGAGGTGCGTTTTTTGTAACACCTTATATTTAATTTCAATTAAATAATAATTTCACAAATCGGATAACTAAATTTTTATAAAAGATTTCAAAATAAGTGAATGGTTACAACTTAATATCAAATAACTGCTACAAGACTAGTTCAATTACAACGTTTTCAAAATAAATTCTAAGTCCTATAACAGTCCATCCGTCCTTTCACTGAGTCCAGTGCTGATCGTCTTGGTTACCTAAAAAATGAATGTAAGGGTGAGTACTCTACACTACCCAAAACACACAATAAACATAGAGTCTCACCTCCAGAACATTCCAATACATTAAACAAACATAATTACAAGCAGCATTTCACATCCATAAGTACAAAACACAAATCCATGCATACGCATACCAATCACATTCATTATAGTACTTTGATCACAGATTTACACCATGAAAGGTCGCTGGTTACCCCCGCCTTATGGATACCATGTGGGCAGTCACGGGTCGCTCAGCAAAGATAGCGGTCAGAGGTCTAGTTAGGAAGAGAGTGTGTGGCTCGTGGTGCACCCATTCCGCAGTCGGTGTCATCACCACTTCCTCTTCCCCAAGGTATTTCTACCGCCCTCATCTCCCACATCCCAGTGTATCGCTGAACCATTCATAGCACATTACTTTTTTACATAGCTAAAGAGAATAAAAATTTAAGATGAAAAAATTATATTATATAATATGTTATTTGTATGTATAGTTAAATTTTAGAGAAAAAAAACTCTAATTATATTAAAATGTTATTTATCATTATCAACAATCACTTTTAATAATTTTAATATGAAATTGCTTTTAAACTGACTAAAAGAAAAAACATGTAGTAGAAATTTAATTAAATTTAGATTTTTAGCATGAATAAAATATATACAAAAATTGATTATAATTATATAGGAAAAGATTTTCTACGTTAATATAAATTCAAACCTTTTATTTAACTTTCATTTAATATATATATACATATATATAATATTAAATTTATATGATAATTAAAATAATTAAAAAAATCTTGTTATATAATTTAAAATTAACTACCCAACTAGTTGGCTTCTCGTGTATGTTATATAGCTTAAGGATTATTATTCTATTCCAATTTCATTATTCGAAGCACACTACAGAATTATTCATTTTGAGAAAAATATTTGTTCATTTTCATTTTGAAAAATGCCTCGCGTTTAATTACCAAACAAACATTGCCAAGATCTGACGCACCGAGCCTCCATTTTCTCACAACCCATTGCCTTGCAAACTCGGGTAACAAGGAGAGGACTGGTTCACTCGGGAGAACCTCCACTCCGTAAACCCTAAAGGCTTCGTCCGTGTTAAAATAACACCATCACACTAAAGTCTCTCTCTTTCTCTCTCATTCCAAAAAAACATCTCATACATCCCAAAATAACAATGAAGTTCGAAATCGAAGACATAACAGTGTACTTCCCCTACGACAACATCTACCCAGAACAATACGCATACATGGTTGAACTCAAGCGTGCCCTAGACGCCAAGGGTCACTGTCTCCTCGAAATGCCGACTGGCACAGGCAAAACCATCGCACTCCTTTCCCTAATCACAAGCTACGTTCTCTCCAAACCCCATTCACCTCTCAAACTCCTCTATTGCACTCGCACCGTCCACGAGATGGAGAAAACTCTTGCCGAGCTTCGTCTTCTCCACGATTACCAGCTTCGTCACCTTGGCCCTGCTGCTAAAATCCTTGCCCTCGGATTGTCGTCTCGGAAGAACCTCTGCGTTAATCAGCGTGTTCTTGCCGCGGAGAATCGCGATTCTGTTGATGCTGGGTGTCGGAAATTGACGGCCAGTTGGGTGAGAGCTCTTGCTGCGGAGAATTCTGGGGTTCCTACTTGTGAGTTTTTTGAGCAGTATGAGCGCGCTGGGTCGTCTGCGGTTTTGCCTCCTGGAGTCTACACGTTGCAGGTTGGGGAGTTTTGTTTTTGATTGGTTATGGATGGATTGATGTTGGATTTTGACGTATGTTTGAGTGAGTGTGTGAGTGAGTGAATGAGTGAGTGAAGTGTTTGGTTTTGGATGTTTACTGATTTTGGAATGTTTAGATTTTAAGAGTGTTTGACATGGAGGGTTTGATTTTGATATGTTTTTGGAATTATTCAAATGAAAGTGTGATTGACTGAATTTCTTTTCTTTGATCGTTTTAGGTTGTTCCCTGGTTTTGGAATATTTAATATTCTTAACACGATTGATTAGTAAAAAAGAATGGTTGTCTGAAAATTTTGATTTTGATTGGTTTTGGATGTTCCTTGATTCAAACATGTTTGATATTCTTAACACAGTTGATTAGAAAAAAAAAATTAATTTTTGTTAATTCCGGATGTTCTCTGATTTTGGAGTGTTCGAATTCTCTGATTGACTGAAAAAATTGATTTTGATAGGTTTGGACCTTCACTAATTTTAAAATGTTGAAGGTCTGAGTGTGGTTGACTGAGTTTTGATCTTTTTAATTTTAGATATTCTGTATGTTTGTGCTTTTGGATTTTTACAGAATTTCTGAAATGTCAATTCTGAATGTGTCTGATTGTAGGACTTGAGAGCATTTGGGAAGGAGAAGGGGTGGTGTCCTTACTTTTTGGCACGGCATATGGTACAGTTTGCCAATGTGGTGGTGTATAGTTATCAGTATTTGCTTGATCCAAAGGTGGCTAGCATAATATCTAAGGAAATGCAGAAAGAGTCTGTTGTTGTGTTTGATGAAGCTCATAATATTGATAATGTCTGTATTGAAGCACTTAGTGTGAGTGTGAGGAGGCAGACTATTGAAGGTGCTAGAAGGAACCTTAGTAGGATCCGTCAAGAAATTGACAAGTATGTGCTGTTTCTAGCTTTCTCCTTCTGTGTGGTGCCAACTTTTCACCATGACAACTTTGATGGGGAAGGAGGGAGTTTTTTTTTTTGGGGGGGTGGGGGGAGGAGGAAGAGGATAAATTTTGAAAAAATAAGTGTTCTGATGAATTTGGCAACTTATTTACTATGCAATTTTTTTCTACTTCTACATTGTGCATTATAATAGCTGAAATTTGATTCAAATTCTCTTAACTATTTGAATTTGAACTGGTAGGAAGGTTCAAGGCCACTGATGCAGGTAGACTCCGTGCTGAATACAATAGGCTTGTGGAAGGTTTGGCACTAAGAGGAGATTTGTCAGGTATGTAGGATGGAAGTTTTGTTATTGATGTCTTAGTTTTATTTTTGTTCATAACTAATTAAAATTTTTCTTTACATAGCTACGGATGCCTGGCTTGCAAACCCAGCCTTGCCTGATGATATACTAAAGGAGGCTGTGCCTGGAAATATTCGCCGGGCTGAGCATTTTATTCATGTTTTACGTAGATTAGTTCAATACCTTGAAGGGCGCTTGGACACTGAAAACGTGGAGAAGGAGAGCCCTGTTGGTTTTGTTGCTTCTATTCTTAACCATGCTGGAATTGACCAAAAAACACTAAAGTTTTGTTATGACCGCCTTCATTCATTGATGATGACACTGGAAATTACAGACACAGATGAGTTCCTTCATATCCAAACAATATGTGACTTTGCCACACTTGTGGGCACATATGGACGTGGTTTTTCCATTATAATTGAACCTTTTGACGAGCGAATGCCACATATTCCTGATCCTGTATTACAGGTTAGCATTGTTTTAATTTTTATTTACTTCATAACTGTTTTAACCTTAAAATTTGACATGTTATGTGAGATTTATTTGTTCCTGTGTGTATCTCATGCTTTTTTCTTTTTCTCATTCTTTCTTATCAATCATACTTCAGCTTTGTTGCCATGATGCTTCTCTTGCCATCAAGCCAGTTTTTGAGCGATTTCAGTCAGTTGTGATTACATCTGGTACCCTAAGCCCAATAGATCTGTACCCTCGTCTTCTGAATTTCAATCCTGTTGTCAGTCGAAGTTTTACAATGTCCTTAACAAGAGATTGCATATGCCCTATGGTACTTACCCGTGGCAGGTATGCCAATTATTTGCTCCTCCCTGTTTTGAAAAGGATCTTGTTATAGATTTTCCATCTCTGATTTCCTGAAGAAGGCCTCTTTCACTTCCCTTTTTGTTGTCATTTTAATGTTTAATGGTTTCTTCTTTCAGTGATCAGCTCCCAGTCAGTACAAAATTTGATATGAGAAGTGATCTGGGTGTAGTAAGGAACTATGGAAGGCTCTTATTGGAGATGGCTTCAGTTGTTCCGGATGGGATTGTATGTTTCTTTGTCAGTTACTCATATATGGATGGGATAGTCAATACCTGGAATGAAAATGGAATTTTAAAGGTGAGGGGACTAGTTAAATTCTTTGATTTTCAGTCCTTTCGCTAGTCTATTATGTAATTTACAGGGTGCTAAATGCATATCTTTTGCAGGAAATAATGCAGCATAAACTTGTCTTCATTGAGACTCAGGATGTGGTAGAAACTACATTGGCTCTTGACAACTACCGCAAGGCTTGTGATTGTGGAAGAGGTGCTATCTTTTTTTCTGTTGCTAGGTAAGATAACAGAAACATATCCTCCCTGGTTTTTTACATGATAAGCTTAATCAAACCACACTCTCTTTATAACTAAAAGGGAAATATGTACTTTCAATGATAACATATTAAATGGCATACATAGCACCAGCTAGCCTATTACATAATATAGGTGCAGAATATTCTGTTGACAAATGTGGAAAATACCATTAACACAATTTCTGCTTCCTATTTCATTATCTGATAAGAGAAGTGGATTAGAGAGTTTTTGTATTTGTCCCATAGTTGTTAATCTCAGATAGTGGCAAATAGCGGTTGACCCCTAAAGCGCTATAGCAAAATAGCATATAGTGGGATAACTGCTATTTAAAAATTTATAATATGCATATATTTAATATGTTATGTACACATAATTTTAATATAAATGCTCAAGAAATTCTCAAGATTACATAATCATCATTTTAAGTAATAATGTAAAAGTGTGAAACACTAAAGCATGGGTGTTATATTAAACAAAAAATGCTAAACAGAGCTTGAACAGCAAAATAGAGGATGAACAACAGAACAGATCTTGAACAGCAAACCAAGAATGATTAGTGAATAATGAAATAGAGCTCAAATAGAGAAGCAGAACATATGCCGGAAAAGCTGATTGCTCCGGCGAAATGAAGTGAGCCTTAAGAAAAATCAGTTTTTCCGATGAATAGAAAAGCCGAGGAGACGCTGGAAAAAGATGATTTCTCCGGCAAAATGGAGAGGATGAGCCTCCGGACTAGCTGTTTTTCTGGCAAAATGGAATGGGTAAGTTAGTGAGGAGGGGAGAAACTTCTATGTTGAGGTCTCAACTTGTTGTGCAGAGAGGAAGAGTGTGGATGAAGATGAAATCAATTTTTGATATATATGTTTTATCAAGGGTAAATGACCTTTCTACCTTTAAAAATAATCAAAACAGTGTGTTTTAGAAAAAAAAGAAAAGGGTTTCTTCCTCTCTCCTAAATCGTGCAATAGCACCCACGACTTCTCCTCCCTTTTCTGGCCGCGAACCACCCACAACCACTGCAATGTGACAAATGCCCTGCAACGTGGCAGCAGTGATGGCCGACAACTATGATTTGTCCTTCATCAGATCAACTCATGACCTCTAACTATTGACAGAGCCAGACCATCATAGACATGATTGTCTATGTGATAGGAACTGAGATTTATATTGAAATAAAAGAACAAAACACAGGGAAGACCCTGGAATTACAAGAACAAACAGCAATACAAAAACAGAATGCGAACTCCTATAGCCTCAGCTATTCTTCCAATAACCACCCAGATAAAAATCCCCCCTCTCTCAATTGTGCGACCCCCATATATTCCCTCTCACTCCACACAATCTCTCCCTTCCTCCCTTTGCCACGTCCGCTCATCTGTTAGATTGTTAGCATCTTGCCTAATGGTTTTCTGAATTGACTTCCCTATTCTGCCCCTCTTTCTATGGTATGTTTTTAATGGGGGTCCCATTGGTTTAGACCATAGTAGTCAAAATCGAGATTCTACGTAGGATCGGAGGAGGGGTATAAGATCGTAACTCGTAGAATCGTAACACGGATCGTAAGATCTTACAAAATTAGATAAATGTATATAAAATAGTATAATATATAAAAATAAAGGAAGATAAACAAAGAAAAATGAGGGAAGGAAATCACCCTTTACTCAAAACAAAATTAGGGACAGATACCCATTAAAAACAGAGACAAAGAAGAGAAAAAAAAATAGATTAGGTAATGTAATATGATGGAAAAACTATTTTATCCTTAAAAAAATTTAAAACAGAATCATTTTAAGGGCAAAAAGGGAAAATTAAATTGTTTTTAAAAGGAAACCCTAAAATCTGTCTCATTCTGGGGATAGAAAGGAAAAGTCGACCTTTGCTCCAGCAGCACTGTAGATGGCTGCAAACCACAGTAAAACGTTCCGCTGTGACAGGTTGCCGGTGCAGAGTAGAGTCACCTGTGTAGACAGGGTCGCCTGCGCAAAGCAGGGTCGCCCACGCAGAGCAGAGTCGCGAGAGCAGATTTTGTCACTGGAGTGTAAGCTATAGGAATCGCAGAGCATAGGAACGAAATAGCAGATCAAAGGAACGGTTTAGGGATTGCAGAACAAAATCAATTTTAGGGTTTCAAGCAAACTGGGTCGCGGGTTATTGGGTTAGAAAACACGCGGGATTGTCCGTGCTTACCGGTTTTACGTTCTGGCACAGCGATCCCACCCGATCTGGCTAAATCACGATTCTGGCACCGAGCTAGCACGGAGAGGGAGTTGGAGATCGTAAAATCGTGTGATTTTACGATCCGGCACGCGATTTTGACGACCATGGTTTAGACCCAACACTATGCTATGTTTTATGCTTTAGTATGTGCTATTATTATTTTCTCTCTTGTTGGCACCTCACCGCCCAAAATTAAGTGCATAAAGAATGGATGGTCTTACAGCTGTGCTGTAAAATGTTTCTTCTTGAGTGGCACCTTTTGATCACAAATAACATTAAGCATTTGGCCATTTGATTCACCCCTAGCTTGAATCCTATAATTTACATCTCCCTTCATTTCCATCATTTCAATTGTTTATATAAAAGAGGAAATTTCTTCCTCATTTACAAAATACAAATTGAAGTATCAGGTGCTGTAATTGTTTACTACTTTACTTATCAATCAATCATGTTCATTAGAGCTTAAGAATATATGTACTTCTATGCAGGGGAAAGGTTGCTGAAGGAATAGATTTTGATCGACATTATGGCCGACTAGTAATCATGTTTGGTGTTCCTTTTCAATACACATTAAGCAAGTGAGGTTCTTTTAATTAAATTTCAGAATAAGGTTAACTATTTATTTATCAAAATCGTGGAGGTCAAATTGCTGGTTGCTGAACTTATTAGAGTAAATAATTTTCAGGATTTTGCTTGCACGCCTAGAATATCTGCGGGATACTTTTCAAATTAAGGAGGGAGATTTTCTGACTTTTGATGCCTTGGTATGACTCCCTCATGATTAATGCTGATAATCTGATAATCTGATTCCTAAAATTGTTGAAAACTATTTCTGATTAAGCAGAGACAAGCTGCTCAGTGTGTGGGCCGCGTAATCCGCTCAAAGGCCGATTATGGGATGATGATTTTTGCAGACAAAAGGTTAGTATCCTTACATCCATGAACATGAGCAAATTTTGGGAAAATCTGATGGTTGCTTCTGGATTTCTAAATTGTTTTTGCATTTGCTTTAATGCAATTGAGCCTCTGAAAGTTTTTGAAGTGCTAGTATCTAGTTTTGATTAACACAAAGCATTCTCTTTCTTACTTGAAATTTGTCCTGAAGTGGATTGAAAGTTATTGTGCTTCTCATGAATGATAAACAAAAAAAATCTTCACAAGCTTTAGAATCCAGTTTATTGAGCAAAGGAAGAAGAATGTTTTGTTCTGGACTGTGAAAGTTTAATTTTAAAAACCAACGTAGCCAACAGGTGTATCAGTGTATGATATTGTAAAAATAATGAGTTACAAATTCTATATATTATAGTAAATAAGCTATTTAAACATTGAAAATCTGCATAAGTTAGTGGCTTATTCTGCTTCACTTTGCCTGCATAGAATACCAAATAGATCTCTCTCTTTTTGTAGCACATCCCCATTTCCACTGAATTTATGATGTGATAGATGTAAGTAGAATACCTGCAATTATATTTTACTTGTCTCTTTGACATAGTTTTGGAAGCAAGCACATTTGATTATAACTGTCTCCACTCTGCAGGTATAGTCGTCATGACAAACGTTCGAAATTACCTGGTTGGATACTCTCTCATTTACATGATGCCCACCTGAATTTGAGCACTGACATGGCTTTGCATATAGCACGTGAGGTGTGTCCTTATAACTCTGGTTTGAAGCTTGTGTAGACACTTGGATTTTTTGTAAATGGAATCTCATGGCTGTTATATACGCCATCTTGTTTTTTGTTAATGTTGAGTTTCCTATCCTCTTTCTGTTGGTCACTTACTGTCAGATAGATTATACTGCTATTTATCCGAAGTAGTCCTAAATTGCCAAAAGTTGGAATTCGGGAGTAGCAATTAAGACCCAAGGCTAGGAAAATTGTGTATATATGTATGTGTATATATGTATATGCATGTATGGGGTATATATGTCTCCTAGTTGACCTTGGAACAAGGTTAGGAAAATTGTTGTGACGTTGTTGTTGTTGCATGTTAGTGATACAAATATCTGATACAATGATTTAATAATGGCACTTGTCTTATCTGATGAATGCAGTTCCTCAGGAAGATGGCCCAGCCATATGATAAAACTGGCAGCACTGGCAGGAAAACCCTGTTGTCCCAGGAAGACATAGAGAAGATGGTTGAGGGCAGCACGAATGATATGTTGTATTGAGGCTCCCCTGTGCATGTGTACAAATTTTTTAGTAGAACTGGGATGGCTTTTATCTGGTTATTAATTCCATATGCAGTTTTCTTATGCCAGATATAAAGGAGGTGTCATTTTGATGTGAATGGTGTCATGGAAGCAATCCATAATGACGAGGAAGACACTTTCCTTACGTGGCATAGGAATCTAGTCGAGTAATTGAACTTCCAAAATCTTAAAATATTTTGTAATACTTGACTAAATTATGTTGTTAAGCTTGCAGTGGGGTTTATCCAATTTAGGTGAGTAATTTTGCATGCTTACGTGGGTTCCTTTATTTGACTTTTCATTTTAGTTTGTTTATAAATTAAGTTGATAATGATTCATGATAGACATTATTCGTACTTTTAAATTTGTGAACAAAATTAGTTGCTTACATGTAGTGAAGATTGTTTACGGACCGGATTGGTTTGTGCTTGGAAAGGGAAAAAATTATACTGTTCATTTTGATCGACCTTGGATTAAAAAAGATATTGTCCCATCGGTTCATTATTGTAACTTTGTGTTTTGGGCCAAACAAGTCTAACAACGAACAAGTTGATTTGGTACCCGGTTAGGATCCTAGGATAAATTAGTAGTAGGAAAAGAGCCGCAATTCGCAATCAAACATCAAACCATGTCGAGAGGGTAGAAGAAGAACGTCACTCAAACGAATACATTTAAGTGTTTTAATGAACATTTGCAAACTTAAGTTTGAATATACTTGATATTATAAAATAAACTTTATTAAAAGTGAATTTAAAATTGTGATTTATGTTAAGTAATTTTTAACTTAATTTTGGGGTGAAATTTAGTATAAATATTTTAACTCAATTTAAAAGTTATAATTTATTAGGTTGTCTTAAACTGAAGAGGTAAAATTAACTGTTATATAAATTTGCTAAACATGTTGGCAGAGATTCCAAATTATATTTACATCTTTAAACTTGAGTTTATTAGGCTGAAAAGCTGATTTAAAGATGTTTTCAATTCAAATAATTGGAATAAAAAACTATCTTGCGCTTGCAAAAATCAAATATTCATTGCAATATAATCAAAACCAAAGCTCTAGAAAAACAAAATCAGTAAAGTAGCTTCACAAGTTAGCAGGTCTGGTGATGCAATGTTTTGTTTGTAATCTTATCCTTCTCTGGTTCATAAATATGGTTTGGTTAGCTATGTTTATTATGTTAGTTTAAAAAAATGGATAAAATTTTATTCTACTCCTTGAAATTGTAATAATTCATTATTTTAGATTTTGACTTTATACAAATCGAAAGTGAGAATAATAAAAATAAATGGCATTTTGTAAAGTTAATAATTAAATTGAAGATTTTTGTAAAGTTAAAGACTTAAATGAGACTAAGTAAATATTTTGTTTCGATTTTTATTTTAACAAAAAATTAAAGAATTATTACATTTTTAAAAATATTTATACAAAAAATAATAAAACAACAAAAAATTCACTATTTTATGAAAGTATAAGAAAATAAGGAAAAATAAAATTAAAATAGCACTTTTGTTATTATATATGAAAACAAAGATTTAAAAATAGTTTATCAAATTCATTGTATAGTTATTTCATTATCCAAAAGATGATAAAATTTTATATGATCCTATAAATTAAAAGTCTTAGCAAAATAAAATTTCTATAAAAACTTCTTAACATAAAAAATAAAAGAAAACTTCTAAAAGATAGCAAATAAAAAACGGTTTATCCTCGGGACTACAGAAGAGTTCCTTTTTGGACTTTGATGTGGTTGATAAATTTGTTAAATGTTATTTACACGTCTTATACAAGTAACTCGAAAAGTTAGGTGCTTTATATGTATTTTTTATAACATTTTATTACAATTTCAATGCATATAAGTTGGTGCTCTTTTTTATAAGTAAAAAGTTTATAGATAAGATGTTTGATAACACTTAAAATTTAGAATGCTATACAAAAAGATTGTTACAATAATGCATAATAAATATATAAAAAATAAACATACATGCAATATTTTTTAGCAGTATTAAAAACTTTAAAATTCAATAAAATTAATAATTAAACTCACAATTTCCTTTACTGAGAACCCTAAAAGACTCATAAAAAATAAAATGGTTTTTTCTTTATTTCTTTTTTCTTTTCTCCTTCTAAATAAGTACAAGTCAAAAAATAGATTTGATATATAAGCCAAAAATTAAAAAATAATGAAGCAACTTGAATTATGTGAAAGTTTTCTTTTATTTCTTTTTTTCCCTTCCAAATTAACATGATCTCAAATAAGCTAGATAAGCAAAACTAAAATTAACAACTAGAGAAACCACTTGAATGATTTGGTGTGTATAACAGGGTGGTGAAAGAGAAACTTTAAAGTTTAATTACAAGAAAGAAAAGTAACAAAAAAAAAAAAAAAAACAGAGATTACAAGAAAATGAAGGAAAAAAAAAACAAAGCTTGTTTATTTAATTAAATAAATAAGTTCAAGCTTAAAGTTAATACTTTACAAACTTGACATTAATAGCTCGTGAATAATTTGCATAGATAAGCATAATAAGATATTAAAATTATATTTATAATATTTATTTGAATTTATATTCTTTTATTATCATCATCATGTGTGTATTATGTATTTAATTTATATGTTTTAAAAATATATACTTTTTTAATAATAATTATTTGACAAAATTAGTTTTTTCGTTCCTTAACTTAAAAGTAAAATTTGTTTTAGTTCTCTAACTATTTTTTTATTCTATTTCATCCTTGAAGTATTTTTTTTTCCATATTAGTCATTTTCGTTATCTCTATTACATAACGTAACAGAAACGTCATATATGGCGCTGAAATGACTTAACACCATTTATTTAATCCTATATGAACCCTAGAAATGGAAGCCTTGAATTGGAAGTCATTATCACGTGGAGATGGTAGTTACTAACACACTTAACGGGTCACAATGTTTCAGAGGGAATTGGAGAGATTAAAATAAAAAAACCTGTTTGTAAAGCAAATATCTTCGTGGTATAAGGGGTTTTTTTTGGTAAAAGGTTGGAAATTTGAAGTAAAATCAAACATCAAGGTTATAAGGTATGTTTGTATTACTGAAATTTATTCTCTGCATGTGTTGAGTATATTATTTTATTTATGTTTTGTGGGGTATTAAGAGCAACGACATTGTTGAATATTTGAAAGATTTCACTTTTTAAAATTTAGGTTTTTTTGTTATTAACTTTTTTGGGTCATAAATGATAGATAAATTCTACATAGAAGTTCACCATGGTGACAAGTTTGAAAAGTCACGAAAGACTAAGTATGTTGTAGGTGAAATTATCATATGAGATTATGAAAAAGATTTCTGGAATTATTTTGAGTGTTTGGATAGGGTACGTGAATTGAAATATGATATAGTTAATAGTATGTGGTACAAAATAGGTGAAAAATGTCTTGATGTTGGATTAAAGGAACTAAAAGATGATAAAAAAAGTTATAGAAATGACCATAATGTCCAAGTGTTATGAAAAAATAGAGTTGTATATAGTACATACTATTTCACAAGTTGAAATATGTACAATGTTCTATTACTTGAATATCTCATGAATGTTGATGGAAGCAAGTTGAGTAGATCGGTGCTGAAGGAGAAGTAGCACAACAACATATTGAAATGGATGATGAGGTTGAAGTGGAATAGGGAGATAAGGATGAACCAAAGAATGTTGATGGCAGTCAGGCAGAGAAAAAATCTTCTACAAAAAGTGAAAAAGAAAAAGCTTGAGAAAAAGGAAAAAAAAAACAGAGAAGAAGTCAACCAAAACATTAACAACAAGTGAGAAAAAAATAAAAATAAATAACAAGAACAAGTGAAAAAAAGCAACCAAAATAGCAAGAACAAGTAAGAAAAAAGCAATCAAAATAACAAGAACAAGTGAAAAATAACAACCTAAACAACAAGAACCAGTGATAAAAAAACAACCAAAACATCAAGAACCAATAAAAAAAAAGAAGGAAAGTTGAAACTCCCATTGATTTTCATATTGATTCTAGTTCTATTGAAAATTTTGAAGTTGAATCTCAATTTAAGGTTGGTTCTAATTTTGTTAATCCAAAGACATTTGCTACAAATAAGAATTCTTGTGATTTTGATGAAGATTACAGATAGTGAAGGATTAAAGACTAAGGTAGATTCTGATGAGGAGAAAAATAGAAACAACTTTAATTTATTTAAGATGTTATAAAAAATGAATGATTACAAATGAGAGTTAGGAACACTATATAAATCTAGAGAAGATTTTAAAGAGGCTGTGAAGACATATGCTATTCACTCTGTTATGGACTTAAAGATTCAAAAGAATGATAATGAAAGAGTGAGTGGTGTATAAAGATAAATGCAAATGGATGACATTTTGTGCTAAGTTACCGAGAGAAGACACTGGACAATTAAGAAAAATTATTGATGAGCACACATGTAGCAAAGAGTATAGGGTGAAGTTGTGAAGTTCAACTTGGTTGAGTAAAAAACTACAAGATGGTGTAAGAGAAAATTCCAACATAAAGGTTAAAGGTTAATGACATTAAAGAAAAAGTACAAAAGAAGTGGAATATTAGAATAAGTAAGTCAAAAGCACAAAGAGTTAGAAGAAAAGCAATAGACCTTGTTGATGAAAGTTTTAAAGAGCAATATAAAAGGTTGTATGATTATTGTCATGAGATGTTAAGGTTAAATCTTGGTTTAACTATAAAGTTGACAATTGAGCAACTTAGTCATGCAATTGAGGAAGGTGAAAATCTCCCAAGACAAATTTTTTTCCACTTTTCACAGATTATATGTTTATTTTCGTGTTTACAAGGAGAGTATTTTAAAATGCAGATCCATCATGTGATTAGATGACTATTTTTTGAAAAGATATTATGGTGAGAAAATTTTGGCTACTATAGGGAGGGATCCCAATGAGCAAATGTTGCCATTAGCAATTGCAGTTATGAAAGGTGAAAATTAAGACTTATGGCAATGGTTTTTGCAGCTACTTGTTTTTTTATTTAAGGAGTGTGGGAGTGTGCAAGTCATTTACTTTTATGTCTGGTCAACGGAAGGTATAACCCTTGCACCTTGTGTTTCATTTAATCATTTCATTTTATCTTGGTTAACTTATGTGTAGGACATTGAATATTTCTAATTTCA